ACCAGAAAACCAGAAGTGGTGCTGTGGCTCAAGTGGTAGAGTGCTCACCTTGAGTGGAAGAGCTGAGGGTCAGTGCCCAGGCCCAAGACTGACCGAAATAAAAATAAAAATCGCTCGTTCCCTCGTTGTCAATCCCCTGTGGTTCTCCTCAGGTCTGTAACAAAACGGAAACAGCTAGAGGATGGTGGCGCACACTTATACTCCTAGCTACAGAAGAAGCTGAGATGTGAGGATCGTGGTTCAATGTCAGCCCCAGCAAGAAAGTCTGTAAGATGCTTATCTCTAACCATGAAAGAGCCAGAAGCAAAGCTATGGCACAAGTGGTAGAGCACCAACCTTAAGCAAAAAAGCCAAGTGAGAGCTAAAGGCCCTGAGTTCAAATCCCAGTATGGGCACAAAAAAGTTTATAGTCCCATGCTAACACCATGTGCCACAAGTTGAGGCTATCTGACTTTGTCTTTTATGCTGGTCCTAGAGCTTGAACTTGTGGCCTTATGCTCTTGATTAGCTTCTTCAGTCACACCTCCACTTCCAGCTTTTTGGTGGTTAATTCAAGATAAGAGTCTCATGAACTTTCAACCTTGAACCTCAATCCTTAGACCTCAGCTTCCTAAGTAGTTAGGATTACAGGTGTGAGCCATTGGCTCCCAGCTCCGTGCTCTGTGACTTTGGACAAATTACTTGACTTCTCTGAATCTCTAGTCTGAAAAAAAAAAAAAGATGCAGCCAATAAATTCATGTCTTTTTTGTTGTTAGTAGTGATCCTGGGGCTCAAACTCAGGGCCTGGAAATTGTCCCTGAGCTTCATTTGCACAAGTCAGGTGCTCTACCACTTGAGCCACAGTGCCACTTCCAGCCTTTTCCCTGTAGTTTATTGGAGATAATAGTCTCACGGACTTTCCTACCCCACTGGCTTTGAATCTTGATCCTCAGATCTCAACCTCCTGAGTAGCTAGGACTACAGGTGTAAGCCACCAGCACCTGGCCTAAATATATGTCTTATAAAACACTTGTTGCAGGGCAGGGTATGTAGCTCAATGGTATGCAACTTTCTTAGCATGCCCAAGGCCCTAGGCTCCATTTCCCTGAACTACTAAAAACCAAATTGGGTGCAGTGGGTCTATCAGCATGCCCTCCATCTCAGAAACTCAGCCCCCACCTCACTTCCCAGAGCAGCTTGTATCTCTAGCATCCATCAGCAGAACACCCTCCACCCAAACCTGAACTCTACCCTGCCCTTCACAAAGAACTCACCCAGGGCTTCCGCCAGTTTCTGCAGGATAGGCCTGCATTCCCACGCTCTGCCCAGACCTAGCTGCCCGCCTCTAGCCCCATGGTGTTATAAGGATGCCCCTGATTAGGGACAGGCACCATATTACTCTCTGTCCCATAAGGAGTTGGCCTTGTCAGTCCCTCTGATAATCCTCCTTCTTCTGTGTCCACGGGGTCTTCTGGGATGGGTGCTTTCAAGGTCAAGCTTGTAATCCTAGCCACTTGGGAAGCAACTAAGTTCTAGTTACTAGTTCTAGCTAGTTACTAGTACTAGATAGTATAGCATCTACTTTCTAGCTACTAGTTCTAACTACTTAGGATTGTGGTTCAGTGTCTGCCCAGGCAACAAAAAACAAATGTTCATGAGACTTCATCTTGACCGATGACTGGGTGTGTTGGTGTCTGCCTGTCATTTCAATGATGGAGAAGCACAAATAGGAGGATCACAGTCTAGCTTAGCCCAGGACATAAAATAAGATTCCGAGTCTTAAAATAACTAATATACAGAAAAAGAAAAAAAAAAAGACTTGCAAAGTGGCTGAAGTGACAGAGGTTCTGCCTAGCAAGTCTAAGGCCCTGAGTTCAAATTCCAGTTCTGGAAAACAAGCAAGCAAGTAAACAAACAAACAGCAATAAAGCTGGCCAGGCACTGGTGGCTCACACCTGAAACCCTAGCTACTCAGGAGGCTGAGATGTGAAGATCATGGTTTGAAGCCACCCCAGGCAGGAAAGTCTGAGAGATTCTAATCACCAATAAACTACTCAGAAAAGGCTGTGGCTCAAATGGTAGAGTTCAAGCTCTAGGAGTAGAGCGCATGCGCGTGCACACACACACACACACACACACACACACACACACACACACACACACAGCAATAAAAACAACAAATCTTTCACTGAGCAGGAGACCAAAAAAAGGGTCTTGATTCTAAAGGAGCCATAGCCACAGCAAATGTGAGATTCACTCCGTCTTGAGAAATGATCCTCTACAGGAAGGGGAGGGGTGGTATCTCAGAGGTACAAGTTAGGAAAGACTTTGAAGAGAGAGGGCATTGAAGCCTTTTCAAAAAGCTGGATCAGCTGGGCACCGGTGGCTCACATCTGTAATCCTAGCTACTCAGGAGGCTGAGATCTGTGGATCAGGGTTCACAGCCAGCCTAGGCAAGAGTGTCCAGTAAACCACCAGAAAACCGGAAATGGCACTGTGGCTCAAGAGGTAGAGTGCTTGCCCTGAGCTGAAGAGCAAGAGGGACAGCGCCCAGGCCCAGAGATCAAGCCCCATGACCGACCCCTCCTTCTCTCCCCCCCCCAAAAAAAAAGTGGAATCAAAGGCATTTCAGACAGAAGGCTCAGGAAAACTGAAGATTTGTTCTTGGTCAGGGGTCAAGTGAAAAGTAATATGAGCCAAGTGTGGTGACTCACGCCTGTAATCTCAGCTATTCCAGAGGTAGAGATACAGAAGAGCCTGGGACTGGCCCTGGGCAAAAAGAATGAATGAATGATAAAAATTGGAGACTATCTGAACAAAAAGGCAAAATAATGTGATATTGGAAACTTGACTCAAGTGGCTGAGCCCCTTCCCAGAAGTGGATTTAGGAGGCAGATAGAAATGGTTCTCAAGAGTTCCAGCCGCTCTAGCCTGTGATCTGCTGTGAGTGGCTTCTGCCTCTGTCCTGGCTTTAGAGTAACCGCACCCTGCACCTAAGGCTTACATGCCAGAGCAGGCTTAGATCTGCCCAGGCCCGGAGTGATGGCTTTCTCCCGCCTCTTGGTTGAGTCTGTGTAACAGTCATGTCTCATTTGTGTTTCCAGTACTCATTTTCTCCTGCTTCTTTGAATAGGAAAACTCCACCCTCACCCACATATGGCTACCCAGTGCCTGAGCAGTTAGCAGTGACATTTCCTAGCCTCTTTTGTCATTGGGTGTGGCATGTGACTAAATTTGGAGCCTCAATGTGTTTTATTTATAGATAATACTCTTAAAAATAAATAGGTGTGGGGCTGGGAACGTGGCTCAGTGGGAGAGTGCTTGCTTACCATGCATGAGGCCTTGGGTTCAATTCCTCAGCACCACATAAGCAAAGAAAGCTGGAAGTGGCGCTGTGGCTCAAGTGGTAGAGCACTCGCCTTGAGCTGAAGAGCTCAGGGACAGGATCCAGGCCCAGGGTTCAAGTTCCCACGATTAACCAGAAAAAAAAAATAGTTCGAAGTCAGCTCAGGCAGGAAAGTCTGTGAGCTCCTTACCTCAAATTAATCACCTAAATATTGAAAATGGAACTGGAACTGTGCCTCAAAGCTTTGAGCAAAAAAACAAAACAACAACAACAAAAAACCTCAGGGATAGTGCCTAGCCCTGAGTTTAAGTACCATGATTAACTAAAAAAAAAAAGACTCCAGCTGGGCCCTGGTAGATCATCTGTAATCTTAGCTACTAAGGAAGCTGGGATCTGAGTGTTACAATTTTAAGTCAGTCCAGGCGGGAGAGACTCATCAACAAAGCCAGAATTAGAGCTGTCGCTCAAGTGGTGGAATGCTAAACTTGAGCAAAAATCTGAGACAGCACCTAGGCCTTGAGTTCAAGCTCCCAGGAGCAGTGTGAGTGCACACACACACACACACACACACACACACACTCACACACACACACCCCAAACAAAAAGATTCTATCTCAACAACAACAAAGATGTCCTGGGTCCTATCTGTAATCCCAGTTCCTACGAGGCCTAAGTAAGAGAATCTAGGTCCTAAGCAGGCATTCTACCACTTGAACCACACCTTCAGCCTAGAAGATATTTGTGTGTGTGTGTGTGTGTGCGCGCGCATGATCGTGGGGCTTAAACTCAGGGCCTGGGTGCTGTCCCTCAGCTCTTCAGCTCAAGGCTAGCGCTCTACCACTTGAGCCACAGCGCCACTTCCAGCTTTTTTCTTTTTGCTTATGTGGTGCTGAGGAATCAAACCCAGGGCCTCAGGCATGCAAGGCAAGCGCTCTACCACTGAGCCACCTTCCCAGCCCCCACTGCAGAATCTCAACTACGCAGAAGACAGAGATTGGAAGAGAGTATTTCAAGTCCAGCCTGGGCAAAAAGTTAGGGACACGCCATGTGAATTACTGGTTGAATGTGGTGGTGTACACCTATGGTCTTATCTGTGTGAGAAGCCACAGGTAGAAGGATCGCAGTCCGAGGATAACGCTATTTGAAAAATAACTAAAAAGCAAAAAGGGCTGGGGTTGGCTCAATTGGTAGAGTGCCTGTCTAGCAAGTTTAAGGTCCTGAGTTCAAACTCTAGGGCCACAATAGGAGTAATAAATACATTCCCAGCATGGAATATATATATATATATATACATATATATATGTAATACATACATACACATACATACACACACACACACACACACCCTTATAAAGGAAGTTTTACAAGAACATCTATCCATACCTGGCTGGATAGGAGGTAGTGAGTGGCTCCTCTCATTAGCTCCATTGCAGTGAGACTGGAAACTTCCTTACACTCAGTATGAGCTGTGGAGTTCACAGCCTAACCATACACAAGGACAGGACGGAACCCCCTCCCACTCCATGCCTACAGCGAGCACAAAGGTCTAGCTGGTGCCGATGGCTTGCGCAAATACAGACACGTGCAGGCAGAATCTTCCCAGGACAGAAACACACCTGGCGCCAGGATAACACACACACACACACACACACACACACACACACACACACAGACTTGGGTACATGCAGCTGCTGAATTGTTTATTGTTGCTGCTGCCCTGGGGGCTCCAGTTTCTTCTCTTTCTTTTTGGGGGTGCCTTCCTCACTCTCTGGTTCATTCTCTGCCTCTTGCTCTTTTGCTTGGGCCTAGAAGCACTTCTGATGCCCCTCCCCCCTTGGGTCCTTCCTTAGGTAGGATAAGTCTTGGGAGGGGGTACAAGCGGGGGGGGGCGGAGGGGAGGGCCTGGGTCCCGCCCGCTCCAGGTCCTCACTCCCTCATAGTCCTGATGCCATGGTGGGTGCAGTCATGGTTGGCCTCATCTGTGGAGAGGGAAAGCAGGTGGTAAAAGGAGCAAGAGACCTGGGTTCTAATTCTGCCTCTCTTCTTTTCTCTCGGACCCCCACCCTCTTTGGCCTCCGTGTCCCCAGTCTGATGACACAGATCTCCCTCTAGTTGGAAAGGCTCTAATGTTCCCCCTTATCTCTGGTCACAAGGGAGCTCTGAGTCAACCACGCATCTCACTTTATTTTAGGTAGGGATGGCCGTTCTCAGCTGCCCCTCCCCACCCACCTGAGACAAGCCCAGGCCTGTCCCCTAGAGGCCTGGGCAGTCTCCCTCGGCTGGGCCTCTTCACCTGTAAGTCAGCGCTGGGCCTTTTTCCTCTCTGAGTTCTGGAACTTGGTCACCAGTTTTCTCTCGTGCCCACCAGGGCTGGGGCGGTTGGTGTTGGCAGCTGCTTCTCTCTTGGTGCGACCTTTCCGGCCTCCACCAGCTGGTGGCGAGGCCAGGAGAGGGAGGAGAAGTGGACAGAAACCTTAGAGGAGAGATCAGCAGCCTGGGATGCAGGATAGGGAAGGTAGGGAGGGGTGTGTGTGTGTGTGTGTGTGTGTGTGTGTGTGTGTGTGTGTGTGTGCATCACTTTGGGACAATCACAACCTCAGCCAGCTGTTCCCAGATGTTTGAGGCCCTAGGGTTGACTATGATAGCACTTTATGGGTAAGGGACTAGAAGGGGTGACTTGGAGGCCAGAGTCCTTGGAATGGGACGGGAAGGGTAGAGGGGAAGGAGCAAGGCAGAGCAGATGGCAGAGCAAGTCTTACCCACATAGGGATGGCCCAGGCTATACAGGTCGTACTCATCCAAGCTGGCCTCTTCGTCCTCAGGGCTCAGGGGCTGCCCAGGGGAGCTGTCTGCTGGTGGCAAGGTGGCCATGGTGCCTGGTCTCCTCTCTAAGTGTTGTTTTGTCTGGCTTTCCCTTCCCTCCCAGTTCTTGGCTCAGCTTATAAAGCTATGTCTCCTAAGCCCACAGGCTGGTTCCCGCCCCATGAGCCTGTCTGATGCAATCCACTCTTTTTCCCAGAAGCCAGCCCATCCTCGCCAGTGAGCAGGGAAAGGAGCTGAATTCTGGGAGCCACAGGGCCTCCTCCCACACCAGGGCTCATCCAGTGGGTGTTTTTCCATAGAGACTCCAGCCTGTGGGGGAGGAGGGAGCAGACAAGGTCTGCTACAAACAATCCTTGAGAGCCTGGACAGCTGGGACAGAGGGCCTTAGACGGATCGTTCCTTCCCGTTCTTCCACTCTGCCCTCTGCCACATACCCCTTTAAGGGCCAGGGTCACAGCCATCAGATGTCTCCCTCCTGGCCCTCATCTGCCTCAAGCATAGAAAATTGTGGTAGAATATGGAATGAAGAAACAGGGAAACTAGGTGCTGGTGGCTCATGCCTGTAATCCTAACCTCAGGAGGCTGAGAGCTAAGGATCCCCATTCAAAGCCAGCCCGGATAGACAAATCTGAGAGCCTCGTATCTCCAACTACCAAGCAAAAAGCTGAAAGTAGAGCTGTGAAGTAAGTGGTAGAGAGCCAGCTTTGAACAAAAAAGCCACGTGGGTGTCAGTGGCTCACGCCTATAATCCTAGCTACTCAGGAGGCTGAGATCTGAGGATCAGGGTTCAAGGCCAGCAGGGGCAGGAAACTCCGTGAGACTCTTATCTCCAATACATCATTCAGAAAACTGGAAGTGGTGTTGTGGCTCAAGTGGTAGAGTGCTAGCCTTGAGCTGAAGGGACAGCACCCAGGCCCAGAATTCAAGCCCCACGACCAAAAAAAAAAGCCAAGCAAGAGCACAAGACCCTGAATTCAAGTGCCAGGACTGGCACCCAAAAAAAAACAAAAACCCCAGGCAATAACAACAACAAACAAAAACAAAGGAAAAACCCAAAAAGGAAGGGAAGGAGTAGAAATGGAATACTCCACTCCGCCTGCAGATCTCAACTGTACAAGTTGTGTGAGTCACTTGGCTGGACAGGGTACTGTCTCTAATTTCATTTGCCCTGCGGTAGCTCTAAGCAAGGAGGTAAGCAGATAAAACACTCTACATCAAAAACAACAAAACAAAACTCTGGTTTCCAGTGAAACAATATTTCCTCAGCTCAAGCCAGATGGTAATTCTTTGCTCACACCCCCCATTTGGCTGTGAACCTCTTAACCATTGTTCTGTTTTTGTTTTTGTTAGTCATGGGGCTTGAACTTGAGGCCTGGGTGTTGTCCCTGAGCTCTTTTGCTCAAAGTTAGTGCTCTACCACTTTGAGCCACAGCACCACTTCCAGTTTTTGAGTGGTTTATTGGAGATGAGAGTCTCATGGACTTCCCTGTTCTGTCTGGCTTTGAATCATGATCCTCAGATCTCAGCATTCTAAGTAGCTAGGATTACAGGTGTGAGCCACCAGTCCCGGAGTTGTTCTGTTTTTCTAATACCTAAAATTTGTCCTTCCTACAAGCCCAAGTGACTCCAAGTGACCTTTGGTTTGACAAGACACTATGCTTCTTCTGTTCCTTCATCCTGCTTGCCTCTGCCAGACCAAACACTGCAAGCATCAAAGCATGTCAGGTGGATATTATGGCACACATCTGTAATCCCAGTACTTGGAACATTGAGGCAGGAACATCATCATCATGAGTTTAAAACTAGACTAAGTTATATAGCAAGGCCCTGTGTCAGAACAAAAGTAAAGCCAGGGACTGGTGGCTCACGCCTGTAATCCTATCTACTTAGGACACTGAGATCTGAGGATTGCAGTTTGAAGCCAGCCCAGGTAGGAAAGCCCAGGAGCCTCTGATGAGAGTCTCCAATGAACCACCAGAAAACTGGAAGTAGCCTAGTGGCTGAAAGTGGTAGAGCTCTAGCCTTTAGCAAAAGAGCTCAGAGATAGCTAGTGCCCAAGGCCCAATTTAAAGCCCCAGGACCAACAACACCAACAACAGAAGCTGGGCACTGATGACGCTACGTTTATAATCCTAGCTACTCTGAAGGTTAAGATCTCAGTTCAAAAACCAGTTGGGACAGAAAAGTCCTTGAGACTCTATTTCCAATTAACCAGCAAAAAAAAAAAAAAAAAAAGAAAAGAAAGAAAAAGAAAACTAGATTGGAGGTGTGGCTTGAGTAGTAAAGCACCAGCTGTGAGTTTTGTGTCTCTAAATTGCAATCCTGGTATCAGCAAAACAATCAAACTGAGTGCTCTACCTCTTGAGCCACACCTCCATTTCCAGCTTTTTGTTGGTTATTTGGAAATTAGTGTCTCTTAGATTTGTCTGCCCGAGCTGGCTGGCCTTGAGCCAAGATCCTCAGGTCTCAGCCTCCTGAGTAGCTAGGATGATAGGCATAACCAACCAGCATCCATAAGACATGAGATTTTGAGATGTGGCCAACATTGGCATAAAGGGAGACAAGTCACTTCCATGGTGACACTGGACAGTCATGATGACATTCAGGTCATCATATACAAGGTCAGGTCACTAGATCAGGCAAATAGGTCCAGGTCATCATAAATACCTTTTGTTTGTTTGTTTGCCAACCATATGGCTTGAACTCGGCCTGAGTGCTGTCCCTGAGCTCTTTAGCTCAAGGATACTCTACCACTTGAGCCACGGTACCACTTTTAGTTTTTTCTGTTTATGTGGTACTAAGGAATCAAACCCAGGGCTTCATACCTGCTAAGCAAGCACTCTATCACTGAGCCACAATCCCAGCCTTAAATCCATTTTTTTGCCAATCCTGGGGCTTGAACTCAGGACCTGGGCACTGTCCCTGAGCTTCTTTTACTCAAGGCTGGCACTCTACCACTTGAGCCACAGCACCACTTGTGGCTTTTTCTGTTTATATGGTACTAAGGAATTGAACCCAGGGCTTCATGTATGCAAGGCAAGCATTCTACCACTAAGCCACATTCCCAGCCCCATAAATACATTTTTTTTTTATTTTCAGGAATGTTTAGCAGGCTGGGTGCCGGTTGCTCCTGCCTGTAATCCTAGCTACCCATGAGGCTGAGATCTGAGGATCAGAGTTCAAAGCCAGCCCAGGCAGGAAGTCCCTGAGACTCTTATCTCCAGTTAACCTCCAGAAAACTGGAAGTGGCGCTGTGGCTCAAGTGATAGAGTGCTTTCCTTGAGCTGAAGAGCTGAGGGACAGCGCCCAAGCCTAGAGTTCAAGTCCCACAACCGACCAAAACTAAATAAATAAAAGAATGTTTAGCAGGACAGTCCCACCTTGTGCAAGTCTGGGGTTGGGCAGTATTATCCAGAACTGTTCTGCCCTTGGCTTTTCTGTGCGTCTTCTCCCCATTAATGTGACAACACAAACCACCCGCAATTTCCATAGGCGCTGTGAGCAAGGAAGCGTTTCATTCCCTGACCTCGGCCAGCAGGCCTTGCTGGTGACTCACGAGGAGTCTGTGGACACACATCCAGGGGCTCCACCCTAGTCCTGGAGCTTCCTGGTTTTTGTTTGTTCATCTGGAAATTGAGAATAGTGACAGCACTCGTGCCTGTCAGAGCTAGGCACGTAGCATGCTGTTCTTTCTTTCTTCTTTCTTTTCTTCTCTCTCTCTCTCTCTCTCTCTCTCTCTGCCAGTCCTGGGGCTTGAACTCAGGGCCTGGGCACTGTCCCTGAGCTTCTTTTGCTCAAGGCTAGCACTCTACCACTTGAGCCACAGCACCATTTCTGGCTTTTTCTGTGTATGTGGTACTGAGGAATCAAACCCAGGGCTTCATGCATGCTAGGCAAGCACTCTACCACTAGACCATATTCCTAGCCCAACATGCTGTCATTTCTTTAACTTTATTTGTTTTTTGTGTTAATGTGGTAACAAAGAATCGAACTTAGGGCCTCGTGCATACTAGGCAAGCACTCTACCACTATGGCATATTTCTTGCCCTTTTTTTGTGAATTTTTCTTTAACTTTGTTTATTTGGCATGCTGTTATTCACTCAGAAAAGAAGGAAAAGGAGGCTCTGGGATTGGTTGGCTCAAGGTCACTGGAGGAGTTGTGGAGGACTCCGCCCCACTGACCATCTGACTCCACCCCTCGGTCCACCTGACTCCTCCTGACCTCCAGGGCTCTGTCTGTTAGCACAGGTGGGCAAACACTGGCAAAGGTGTATCCGTCTGTGCATGGAGTCACCTGCCAGCTTCTCTTGCCCTCCCTCCTTCCTCCCTGCTTTGAATCAGGCCCAGTGCTGAAGACACAGGGAACTCCCTATTCCTTCTGCAATTCCTATACAATGAGAAGCTGGGTCTTCAGTATTATCAGACATTGCCTGTCCAAAATATCCTACATAAGCCAGCTGTGGTGGTTCAGGTCTATAATCCTAGCTTCTAAGGAATCTGAGATCTGAAGATCAAGGTTTGAAGCCAAAGAATGAAGTCAAATGTGGTGATATATTCCTGCAATCCCAGTACTCAGGCACTAAGGCAGGAGGATTGAGAGTTTGAGGCTAGCCTCTACTACATATTGAGTGCCGAGTGATCAGAGCTACTATTTTAATTAATTAATTAGCTGGATATAGTGGTACATGCCTGTAATACCGACTACTCAGAAAGTAGAAATTGGAAGGATCAAAAGTCAAGGCCAGCTATGACAAAAAGTTAATGACAGCTCCTTCTTAACCAAAAAAAAAAAAAAAAAAAACTGGTCATGGTAGCATGCACTTGTAATTCCGGCCATGTGGAAGGTTTGTAGGAAGTTATGAGGTCCAAGTGAAAAGCAGACGATCCTATATACCTAAAGCACAAAGAGCTGGAGCAGTAAAGTGCTTGTCTAATGGGTTCAAGGCCCTTGTACAAGTTCAAACACCAGTATTGTCTAAACATAGAAAGAAAGGAAGAAGGAAGGAAGGAAAGAAAGAAAGGAAGGAAGGAAGAAGGAGGGGCTGGGAAGGTGGCTCAGTGGTAGAGCGCTTGCCTTGCATGCATGAGGCCCTGGGTTCAATTCCTCAGCACCACATAAGCAGAAAAAAA